AAAAAAAAAAGACTTGATAACTTGTGACTTGATTAATGATTTCCTTGGTTTAAAATATGAGAAGTGATAATTAGTACTAAAATATAGCAGGTGTGGCCCCTGACTTTCAAATGTTGGAACAGGTAAACATAAATAAATGTTGCGTGTTTGAATATATGTGTTTCCTACCATTATTGTTGTGGAAATCATTGTTAATAATTGTGGGGAATAATTAATATTGACATGTGAACAGTCTCTTCTCATAGTATTATTATTACTACTTCTATTATTGTTATTATTACTATTATTATTATTAAAAAGTGATCAGTGCAATTTTGTTATTCAGGAAGTTTGTATCAAACAGGTAGCCCTTCATACTACTCAGTTCCCTTGAAGTAGCCCTCAGTCTCAAAAAGTTTGGTGACCCCTGCTTCAGAAACATCTGTAAGACCTCATTTATACTTGGACTACTTCTCTCCCATAGATCTCTCTGAGTTGACCTCAACCATTGCTTCATCTAAATCATCAACATGTCTCCTGGACCCCATCCCGACCAGGCTGCTCAAAGACGTCATTCCTCTAATCAACACATCCATACTAGATCTGATTAACCTCTCTCTATTAACAGGTTATGTTCCACAGGCTTCCATTGTCTTGTTCAATGACACTTTGACTTGTGAGCAGGAGGAGCTCAGGGAATAAACCAGAGAACTAAATTTGTCTGTGACACTGGACAAAAAGAGGGTTTACAGGTTTACAGAGCATGAGATCATAAACACAATTACACATAATAAGGTGTTCCTATGTTAAAACTCATTAAGTCTTCACAGTTCTCTTGGAAATGGAAAAAATGCACAATATTTTCTGCAAACAGTGATGCATAGTTACTTCTTATGCCATAAATTGAACAAAAATAAAAAATAAAAACATTATTATGGCATGGTGCAAAAGTTTGGGCACCCTACACAATCAGTACTTAGTAACACCTCCTCTGGCAGATATCACAGCTTGCAAACGCTTTTCATAGCCAGCTAAAAGTCTTTCAATTCTTGTACTTGGGATCTTCTCCCATTCTTCCTTGCAAAAGGCTTCTAGTTCTGTAATATTCTTTGGTCGTCTTGCATGCACAGCTCTTTTAAGATCTACCCACAAATTTTCAATGATGTTTAAATCAGGGGACTGTGATGGCCATTCCAAAACCTTCAGCCTGCGTCTCTTGAGGTATTCCATAGTGGATTTCGAGGTATGTTTAGGATCATTGTCCTGTTGTAGAAGCCATCCTCTTTTCAGCTTCAGCTTTTTTACAGATGGTGTGATGTTTGCTTCCAGAATTTGCTGGTATTTAGTGGAATCCATTCTTCCCTCCACCCGTGCAATGTTTCCTGTGCCACTGGCTGCAACACAACCCCAGAGCATGATAGATCCACCCCCATGCTTAATAGTTGGCAAGGTGTTCTTTTCATGAAATGCTGCTCCTTTTTTTCTCCAAACATGCCTTTGCTGATTGTGTCCAAAGAGTTCTATTTTAACTTCATCAGTCCACAGCACTTGTTTCCAAAACGCATCGGGCTTCTGTAGATGTCCTGTTGCATACTTCAGACGTTGGATTTTATGATGGGGACGCAGATAAGGTTTTCTTCTGCTGACTCTTCCATGAAGGCCTTGTCTGTGCAAGCATCGCTGCACAGTGGAACGGTGCACCACCACTCCTGAGTCTGCTAAATCTTCCTGCAGGTTTTTTGCAGTCAAATGGGGGTTTTGATTTGTCTTTCTGACCAGCATACGAGCAGTTCTGTCCGAGAGTTTTCTTGGTCTTCCAGATCTCATCTTGACCTCCACAGTTCCCCTGATCTGCCATCTCTTAATTACATTTCTTACTGTGGAAACTGCAAGCTGACAACGCTTTGCTATCTTCTTGTAGCCTTCTCCTGCATTGTGGGCATCAATAACTTTCATTTTCAGGGTCTTACACAGCTGCTTAGAGGAACCCATGGTTGCTGGGTGTCCACAAGTGTGTGCACAAGGTTTGAAGAGTCAAAGTATTTGTACAGCTTTGAAATTGGCATTTACCAATGACAGCTGTTGCTGTGCATCAGATCTAACGAGCTGATTAAGGTCTGATACCTTGTGAGAGACTTTGAGACTCTGGAACTCTTAGGGTGCCCAAACTTTTGCACCATGCCATAATCATGTTTTTATTTTTTATTTTTGTTCAATTTATGGCATAAGAAGTAACTATGCATCACTGTTTGCAGAAAATATTGTGCATTTTTTCCATTTCCAAGAGAAACTGTGTTAACATCTGTTCAAATAAAAAATCACCAAAATCTGTTATTTATCAAGGGGTGCCTAAACTTTTGCATAAGACTGTATATTAAGACAAATACATTTGATAACACTCCTCTAAAGTGATTGTAACATCTTCAGACTGTGGTGGTTACTATGTTCTCCTCCTGGTGTTATAAAGCTGTAAATTTCAAAAAAGTGTGGACATATACTGGGTAAAAGTAGAAACACAAGCGACTCACAGAGCAGAAGACACAGCGAAATGTTGAGAGCAGCTTGTAGGATACAGAGGAGTCCAAAACTCATAACAACTAGTCTGTAGAATTTTCTCCCTGATGAGGAAACAAAAGAGATACACAGAATCCGTCCAAGTCCAGAAGCCTGTTGAGAAGCAGGTTACAAAGGCATCTGAATTATCTTGCTGATTAAAACCTGACACACACTTAAGAACACGGACCAGTGTATAAAAATATATGAATTTTAAACTGCCTGCTGGAACAGGTTCCTGGCATGAATGTTAAATTTCATGATGCATGCAAAGTTGTTTTTAAACATTTTCACTTACACGACACAAAAAGCTAAAAAACTGCAAAGAAGAAAATCACATTATTCCTCAAATCTTCTATTAAAATATCTCGTTGCTAACAAAGTAGGAAGTTAATGTTTTTCCTCTTTTGTCATTGACTTCTCCACACTCCAGCCTTAGTATGTGACAATAAAAGTTATTTTTTGTTAAAGGTAAACTTCCAAACTTTCATACTGTACAATTAACACCTGTATCAAATATTAATTTATTCTTTCCTCTTTGAAATCAATGCATTTTTATATAACCCCCCTCTTGTACAGTTGAATTGTGAAAGAACTTCTACAGATGAACTGAACTCTACCTTTGAAGAACATCCTCTCATCCACCATCTTTAATAATAAACTATATTACTCTAGATAAATATTACACAATTACTTTTGAAAAGCGTCCTGCATTTTTTTCTAATGTTTCATGAGCCTTCAGATTGTAAAAGATTGCTGTTTGGTTAAGTAAACATTTTGTCTGCTACAAAGCAAAGCTTCACTTTTCCATTATTCAAATTTATCACAGATGATAAATTAAGATCCCAGAATTTTGTAACTGGACACATATACAATCATATTTATACAGCATTCTCTATTCATTTCTTATATTTTACTTTATTCATTGTATATTATTGTATTGTCTTGTTACTGTATTATCATGTATATTTGTATTTTATCTTATTTTTGTATTTATTGAATTGTATTTTTTAATACTATGGACCTCCTCAGATGAAGAGACTGGGGCTTGAATAAAATGAAGGCTCAAACTGTGTAATCCAGCAGAGCCTTTTAAACATGTTGAGAGAGAACAGGTAACTAACTAGCAGAACAGTAGATTTGTCAGTATTCTAGCAAACCATTAATTAAAGCACTAAAGGAAGATGCAAGAAAAGAGGTTTAAAATAACCATTCATCCATTCATTATCTATACCGCTTATCCTGAAGGGTTCTGGGGGGGGGGGACCCTATCCCTGCCGACACTGGGCGAGAGGCGGGGTCCACCCTGGACAGGGCAGGCTTAGAATAAACAACTTTTTTTTCAGGTCAGGCAGGCTGCTGTGTCTGTTCAGCCCTACTGTACATCACTTCAATATTGCAGCTGGTGATGATGGAGCTCCTTTTAATTTATGCTTATAATTTTAATTGGGTCTTTTGTAAATATCGCACCAAGAATCAATAAAACCTTAGGATTATACTGCACTTAGTTTTATTAATGTGACTATGAGAAGTTGCTCAAATTATCAAATAAATGTAATGGAGTAAAAAGTAAAATGTTTGCTTATAAAATGTATGAGGTAACAAAAAATGAAAATACTTCAAGTAAAGTACAGATACCTCAGAATTGTAAGTACAGTAACTGAGTATATGTACTTAGTTACAATCCATCTCTATATGGA